AGAAAAAAATGCTAAATATAACTTTTGAAAGAATTTGATAATTGAATAAAGGAGAACAAATAAAAATGCTTATACGGATCGAAAATGAATTTCCGGAAATACTAGTCAGAAGGTATACGTATAATATATCGTTGGAAGGCGGAGAATTTCAGAAAAAAACAATATCGAACAATTCTAAATCTGGTATTATACCTAAATAACTATTTATCAACGTCCGTTTATTCCAAAACTTCGTGATGTAACCTTTTAGAAAATTAAATTAGTGAATAATTTTCCCTTCCCTTTGAATAATTTCCCTGAAATCCAAAAATTATCCACATAAAATTAGTGTGACCACTTTTGACCAATCTATGGCGGGCATTGGAAATCTCGTAATTTCATTTTAGTAAACTTTACAAAGGAAAATAACAGTTTAATAACTAATTGGCGTACAATTCATAATCATTTACAGGTCAAATATAGAGATATACTTTCAAATCTCTCTAGCCATATATATATATATATATACATCATGGCTGAAACTTAGGAACAATAGGGAAAAAACATAGGAATTGATGAGTATCTATAAGTGGCAAACTTAATATTTCTAGCCCTAATATTTACGTTTTCATGAAAATAATTTAATCAATCAGTAGGCTTCTATATTTGAAACGTAAATTTAATGAATAAACATTAAGTTTGTCACTGATAAATTCATATCATTTTCTATGACAGAGATCTCGCCGAAAAACAGTTGCATACTCACTTTAGGTGATGAATATTTAAAAAAATATAATTTTTTATATTTATTGATAAAATGTATTTTTAGATAATTATGCTTATTAAAATACATCCAATATCATATACAACCAAGAAATAAAAGCTTTCCAACACTTCATTGTAGTCATTTTTGCAGAAAACATGGGTTTAAGTTAAGGTGATTGGATAAGAAATCACATCATTTCTTTACACATCTTGTGGTGAATATCGTGAATGTTTCAAATGACTAATTTTTTTTTGTAATGTTCTCATTTTTTTGTTGGTTTTATATTATATCATGTGTTACCTAGTGAATATAAATATTCAATACTTAGGATGGATCTAGGGGAATGTGCATGAAAAATTACTTAAATATCTTGATAGTATTCGAGTACTTTTCAACGCGGCTCCTGGCAAGTAGCTTTCGTCACATATACCAGTCCAGGTTAGTATTCGAAATATTCTCAAAATTCGTTCGGGGAAGGAAGGAAACCTCATACTATAACAAATTAAAATATATGTAATAGTGTAAATTTCTCTGACAATCTGCAAAGGTGAATAAGTAGATATGAGCAGAATCACCATCCTTCAACTGAGTATGGGCTGCCGATGCATCGTAAAAGATGAACTTCGAAGTTTCTCTCCCAACGATTCGACATCATGGCGGTCCAGGAACCATGCTGCCGTGGGAACATGGTAACGGGGTTCGGCCTCACATCGAGGGTTATCGCCCTAAGCAGTAGAGTGAGGAGGCCCTGGGCTGCCATAGTGGTTAATAACCCAAACCTCGATGTGATGGATCTGAGGCAGTACACAACGGCGGATAATGTCGCTTGCTTCATCGGGTGGAGAAACGTTACTTTTACGCTGGTATCGGCTTACCTTCTTTATAGAAATGATATTGACGAAGACATATCCACCATGAATATGATCACAGCTTGTTCTCGAAACGTGATCATATGCTCAGATACCAACTCCTGGAACACGGTTTGGGTGTCCAATCGAACAAATAGGTATTGACAATGTTGACACGGCAATCCTCCGGAATTGTATCCCTTATATTGAAGATCAAATCCTGGCAATATTCAATGATTGCTTGAATAGGGGCTATTTCCCAAAAACGTGTAAAATTGCCGATCTCAGACTTCTTTACAAGGGAGGTGACAAGGATAAACAAATGGCAAAGCCTTATAGGCCTATCTGTCTCCTCTCTGTTATGAGTAAGGTGTTGGAGAACCTGATGGTCACATGCCTACAGCCTGTTTTTTCAAGAGCTTCCCATCCACGGCAGTATGGATGTAACAAAGGTAGGGAGGGGAACTGAAGAAGCTCTGCTGAGACTACGCCATGACGTTGAAGAGAAGTATGTCATGCTCCTCTTGTTTGAGCATTCACCTTCACCTTCAATAGCGCATGGTGGACAAGCATACTCCAGCAGCTCCAGAAATACGAGACTCCTAGCAACTTGTACATTTTGATGAGAAGTTATCTTCAGGATAGAAGGCTCCGAATAAGACGTAACTTCTACGAAGTAGAAGATAACATGGAGAGAGGCTGTCCACAGGGCTCTATCCTTGGCTCCTCTATGTGGAAACTATTCTTCGACGAGTTGCTGGGAGTGCTGGAAGAAGAGCAGTTCTCCGCCACAGCTTTTGTGGATGATTTAGCCGCTGTGGTGGCCTCGAACAGCAGATCCAGGTTGAAAGAAAAAGCTGAGCGGTGCGTCAACCTGATAGGAAGATGGTGCGAGAGGAAGAAACTGCGAATGACAGCTGCTAAACTAAAACACAGGTCATCCTCTCGAGAGGCAGGACTGATAGGGGTCATCCTATTACAATGGTTATCCAAGGATCAAGAATACGTCCAAGTGAGATAGCGACCTATCTCAGAGTCACAATTGGAAGAAATTTCAACGTAACACCTCACTTGGACTATTTGAGAAGTAGGGTGACCCTAGCGCTTAATAGACTCAGTCGTATCGGAGGTGCATTTTGTAGCCTCAGATACCCAGCGACTATAACCATTTATAAAGGTGTAGTTCTGGATATTGTGAACTGGTACGCATCTCCTGGTTGGTTTCAGAATCTCTCGCATCACCAGAAGAGCAGGTTTGTTTTAATTCAGCGGACGGCTCTGTTACCAGAGCTTACAGGACAGTGGCTCATGAGGCAGTACAGGTCTGCATATGAGGGACTGAGAGCCAAACCGCTGAGATAAACCGGTCTCAACGTTTTAACTGAGAGAGATTTACCTCAGCTCATGAGTGCGGAAAACTATCCGCACTTTAAAGATTTTATTTTAGAATGGAAATCAATAATAGGCCCAACTCAATAAGTTTATAGCATTTTGAAAAAAGAGGTGCTTGGATGTGCTGAAACTGCTGGTACAAAACGTTTAAATCTTAAAACTGTGTTATTATTGAAGTCACAAATTAGATGTCAACTACATTATCAAAGTATTCGTTCTTAAAAGTACGCCTTTAGAACTAAATTCTCAACCTCATTTCAGCTGAATACTATGTCACCAAATTAAAATTTGCACCAGATTATCATAATGTAAAATTCATTATTGTAACATCAAATTTGAACTATTGTTTGGACTTAATGAACCAAATATTAATCAAGAGCTCCCTCCCCTCCTCCGGTAATCGGTGGTGTCCCGCTTTACCAATGTTACTATAAAATCTGGTCACCTTAACCATACCTTAAACAAAAAAAAAAAATCATTTACAAATCCAGTAAAGTTGATTTAAAAATGATATTCACGTATATTTTTTGTTTATTTGAGCATCGAACCTCTCTTCATAAATCAGTGCTTATATGAACTTCTCTGATAAATCCCCATAAATCTGTACTGGAAATGCTTTAACTCTCCAGAAATACCTCGAGAGTAAACAAATAAAAAAATGAAGGAGTTCACCCAACTAAGGTTAACTTACTGAATTTAGACAGAAGGCGTTACTAATACATAATATGCCATTATTCAAACAAATTAAAGTGCTAACAGCCCATTACATAATGCCAGTTGAGAATAATTAAGTAGATTAAAATAGAAATAAATTGATGTTGTTAAAACGAAATAATGCTCTGTTGATAGTTTGAATGGCTCTTATTTCCAGTTTTCCGAAATAGTTACGCATGAACTTCTGGATTTGAAAGATGAAAGTAAAAAAGTAACATAATTAGTAATTATTTTAGGGGAGAGGTGGGGAGGTGCCCTCTTCGTCGAAAGTCAGTATAAAAACTTCTGTCCCCCTGTCGAAAGTATCAGTTACCTGGGTGATTCACTGAGGAAGAATATCCACAAACCATGAATTCCATCTACTCTGTGAGTTTATGACAGGATAGTTGTTCGATTTATATGTATATATATATATATATATATATATATATATATATATATATATTCATACACATACATACATATTTATAATGTATTTATATTATATAGTTTTCTACTATTCGATTCGGCAGTAAAACTAAATATGCTCAGATGTATATATCTGACGTATTTTTTATTTTTAAAACTATTTGTGGAATTTCATAAAACTTAAAAATTAAATTCTGAATATAGTATTGCACTAAAAATAAGCTGATCGTCTACTTTCTATTTTTTTTTTTCTTTCTATTCATAAAAATCAGATTGCATCTAAAAATCAATTTTCTTTGAAAAAATAACCATTTTTGATATTCACTGATGTTGAATATTAAAGTAAATTGATAAAAATATATTAAATATTAATGTAACATTAACTTTTATTTCATCTAAAATTTTGGGAAATAATTACCATTTTATGTGTTCATTGTTTTTTTCCTGGAATAATTTTTCAATATTGAAATAACATTTACTTTATCCTATGAATATTTATTTGGAAATTTAAAATCATAAGGTAATTAAAATATATTAAATCATCGTAATAAGAATAACTGTAATTTATATATGTCTTATATATAATTAAAAGGATTATTTTTATCATAAACAGTAATAATTGTTTAAGTAATAAAGAAAACTTAATTTTATAATTTTTTTTTAACTTAAAGAAATGAATAAGCCGAATGATTTCGATCCTAACTATATTGTATTTTTGTCCTTTCTGTATAAATTATAAACCTCTTTCAATGAGAAATTTACTGAATACAGCTGAACATTTCAATATCTCACCATAATACTATAACAATTGTTTTATATTTTATTTTTACGTATCATATCTATTGAATACGCAGTTATTTTTTTTTTACTAAACATCTCTCTCATAACAACAGATTACCGTTTTCGTTTTCGTGGCCTGCTGTTCTGCGACAGAGGAGAAGGCCACCGATAAGAGAGGTCTTGCAGGGTTCGGATTTCCAGGCTACATTCCATCTGCCTCTGAGCCTTGGGCTCCAGTCTCTCAGGAACTCGCCCTCACCAAGGTATAACTTATATATTAAGCAGTAAAATCCTAGCAGTTTTAATTTAAGAAAAATTAATTCTCATAGAATGATTCGTAAGGTCGTACAAACAATTTTATATACCGAAGTTTAAAAAAAGGAGGAAAACCCAATTGTGATTTGGAAATTAATGATTCTGAGTAATTACTGAGTAATATTTTTTATGTATATCTATTTTATTAATATTAATCTAAAAAGCTATTGATGATTAACTAGGCTATATGTATAACTTATTATTTATATATGAATGGGTTATAATTGTTCTATTCATATAATAATTACCCAAGAAAGATAAGTTAATATGATTGTAGATTACTTCAAAAGCTCTGTATGTTTCCACTTATCGACAAAAGTGGTGCTCAATATCTTTATAGCTTCGGAAAAGAGCTGATTTTAAATTAACTAGTTAATTTTTACTCAAACAAACGAAAAATAATAATAAATTTTAATATATATACACTCAAAGGGTTAAGAATATAAACAGAGAGCTTTAAGTGTGTATGTAATGTAAGTTGGTCTTAAGGAAGTTCCTTTTGGAGGTTTCAATTTTCTTTTACCAACCCCAACCAAATTTAAAATTTCCTTATTTTATAACTTTAAGATTTGCTTTTATAACTTACAATTTAAGATTTTCCTCATTTAAGTAAATCAACAATATTACACTTCGGAAAAAAAAAAGAAAAAACTTACCATCCGAAAATTCTCCTACCAACTTGTTTGCGGTTTTTGCTCTGTTTTTAAGTAAAAGGTTTTGGACGTGGAAGGTTTATATAAATGTGAAACTGGACTTTACTCATTTATTTTCCATTGGATATGAGCTTTACAACACAAAAAAAAAAATTATCAGCTAAAAAAAAGTAATAAGGTTTCAGACCTCCTCTGTTTTTTAGAAAATGAAAACAAAATATTGGATAGAATATAAATAAGATTTTAAAAACTGTAGACTATATTTTGATATAAAAACATTTAAATATCTTTATTCCCTCAAAAAAAAACACAGAGCTCAGCACAAACTATAGCCTTGCAAAGCGCCTCTGCAGCCCACGCAGCCGAAGTAGCGAACGCCCTGGCAGCAGCCAAAGAAGCTTCAGCAGCAGCCTCCCTGGCCCAGCAGCGGGTACAGCACGCCAAGGAGGCGGTCCTGGTCCAGCAGAGGATTGCGGCGGCCAAGGAGGCGGCAGCTGCGGCGGCCATCCAGCGCAGCGAAGCAGCCGCCGCCACCGCTGCCGCTATACAACGCAGCGAGGCCGCAGCAGCCGCCCTCCACCGCCAGGAAGCAGCCGCGGCAGCAGCAGCAGCTCTCCAACGCAGTGAAGCTGCTGCTCAGGCTGCAGCCGCCATACAGGTTAGCACATAGTTATCTGTTTTTAAACTTATTTTTCACATATAGTGGATTCATAAAAAAAATAGCTAATGTTAGTGCAAAAGTTAATATGTGAAAATTGATTTTTTCTTTTTAAAAATATGGCATAAAAACTGACTATGTCTTTATGATTTATTAGTATAACTTCAAATTTTATTTCTCTATTTATATTTATATTTTCCATAGTACCAGACTACTTATAAATATGATAAGAAAGTAAAATTGTTACTTACGGTCTTTTGTACTAACAATAGCGATATATCTATTTTTACAAGATAATCTTTAAAAGTTTATGGTGTAATAGGTTTTTAATTTGATTATATAATAATCTTTTAATTTGGGAATAACTAGAAACTTCGTAAGGAATTTTTTTAAAATAAATATTTCGATGGTATCAGTTTGTAATTTAATTTGAAATTAATTTTCCTGTTTTGTTCTCACAGAGGAGTCAAATTACTGCCCACCAAATCCAAAAAACCGCTGCCAAGGCATCTGAAGCTAATGCCGTCCTGAACCATGTTGCTGCTGCTGCACTGCCTTATAACAAACCACTCGAATATCCTTGGGGTTGATATTCTGTTAAAAAAAGATTTTAGAGTTTATTGTATTTAGTATTACAAGGTTATTGTTAACTTCAAAGTTGTTAATAAAATTTAATTGTTATTACTTCTTTGAGATTTATTTTGTTTCCTAAATATTTTTACATAAGACTTTCATATTTGAGATTCTAGTCATATTTATTATGTTTGGAGCCATATTATTATTACTGTTTTAAAGATGTTTCGCCAAAGGTCACAAAAAAAAAAAAAAAAAATGTGAACTTTAGCCAAAACTAACTTAAGTAATAATTATTATATTTGTACTAGTTGCGCCTTCAGTTTCACCAGAGTTAAATTTGAATTACACTTTTGTATTTCAAACAAATTATGAGTACATCCAAGTGCATGTGATTAACAAAGAGTAGTTAGTGGGTCACCGATTTTAACCAAGCTACAGTCAGTGAGTCAACGATTTCAACCAAATTTTTGTTGTTGTTACTACATCTAAACATATCGAACACATATTTCAGGGTTCGTTCCAATGGGTCCTAGGAGCCAAGAAAATAATTATATATATATATATAATCAAGAAGAAGAGAGAACGAAACGATCACTACTGTCGCCTATAACACCTGCTGATGAAGACTGACTCAAAAAGTCGAAGTCAAGAGACATAGGAAAGAATAATAATAATGACATACATATATATATATATATATAATATATGTTATTATTATTATATATATACATACATATATATACATATATATATACATATATATATATATATACACACACACACACATATATATATATATATATATATATATATATATATATATATATATATATATATATATATAATATATGTTATTATTATTATTATATATATATATATATATATATATATATATATATATATATATATATATATATATCTATATATACATACATATATATATATATATATATATATGTATGTATATATAGATATATATAGCATCATAAACCTTCCCAAAATCCTTCGAAATTTTGTCGACAACCACAAAAATTATGATAACTTTAGAACGGTTCCGCCGATCAACACCAATATTATTTGGAATTTAGGCCGCTGTATGCTATATGAAATGGTATAAACCCTTCGTTAACAAATTAGAACTAAAGATATTAAATAAAAATGGGTTAGAAGTTTTTCTTTTTTAGTTTAAAAAGAAATTAAATCCGAAAATTATTGATTGATTGACTCGTCTATCAACTGCCTTCTGCAATGTCACATGCCATGCCCTGATGAAGAGCTGCAAGGTGGTCGAAACATCGGTGATATAATTTTTTTTTTTAAACTTATTTATTGAAAAATATTACAATCTGTCTCTAGGAAATACAGTATAATTAAAAATACTATTTTTTATTAGTTTAGTATTTATTTGACCGCACCTCCCGACCAACTCCTTCTCTTGTTATATCACGGTCAACCATCTCTATATCATTATGAAAATTATTGATGTCGATTTTAAGAGCAGTAATTCAGCTTTCCAATGGTAACATGAAAGTTGAATTTGAAGAAAATTTTGAGGAGTTATGAATGCTATAGTTGACAACCGGAAAAAAAAATCATCCCTGAAAATCAAGGATGTATTTTTTTATTTATATAAAAATTCGTATTCAAGAGTTTTAAAGAACCCTTAAAACGATTATGACTTGCTTTTTCACAACAAAAATTTACTTGGTCTACTTTACTGGAAGGACTTGTTTTGTGTAATGTATGATTCATTATTACTCATTTAATACAATAATAATTTTTTTTTCTGCACAAAAAAAAAATCGATTGATACACAGTAATCTAAAAATTCGGGCAAAGCATAGGCAAAAATAACTAACTTGAATTTTGTTAGAAATTATACAAGTTTTTTTTTTTTCTCGTCTCCTAGAACCCATTGGGACAAACATCGGAATATGTGTCTGATATTTTTCGATATAGTATAACCGAAAAAAAATTAGGTTGAAATCAAGGACCCACCTATTGTAGTCTCATCTAGTAAGTGAATACTAACATCCAAAATAAAAAAAAATATGACACATAGCTTCTTATATCAAGTTATTGATGTGGGTCCTAAGAGTAATAATTCAGATTTCCAATGGTGGTACTGAGGGTGACTTTGGATAAAATCCCAAGAAGTTATGAATGCTTTAGTTAACAGCGAGTAAAAATTAGTAAACAAAAAAAACCCCCAAGAAAATCAAGTACTGAAATTTGCAATTTTCAATATTTATAAAAATCCATATTTAAGAATTTTAAAGGACACTAAAAACGAATCTAACTTGCTTTTTCATAATAAAAGTTTACTTGATGAGAACCTCAGGAATTTTACGTCCTAACTGATGATGAATTTACTCCCTTGGTGAGTTAGGAGAATTTACTCCAGTTCAAGAATTCATTTATGACTGGAAGGAGACAATGGGCCCAGAGAAGACTGCTGGAAGACAGCATTCATCATTGACCAGAGGTTATTGATCAAAACTTTCAATTGATTCTTCTAAATCCAATAGAACTACAAACAGTAAATAGAATGATGAAGGCAGTGGATCAGCTGATTAGATGGTTGTGCTCTCAACTGGTCTCTCAGTATTTGCCTATTTTTAAGTGGAATCTCTCTGATTTTTTCATTGAATACATTTCACGTGTACACCAGAGCAGTTGATATTGCTGTTTGATATATTTTTTTATTCTTTTATAATTTTTTTTTCTTTCTTTCTTCTCCTATGGTATGCGGTATACTCACCAAGTGATGTCCAGTAAGGTGCCCAAGAGGACTCGTTCAGACGGAGTTAATTCACCAGCCAAACAAAGGACTCGTCACTGCCTACGAGAAACATCTCCAAAAACAAAAGTGAACACTTCAGAACCAGAACCTCAGCCACAACCAGGAACTTCTTCTCAAGAAATGATCGAGGAATCTCCTTTCTTTACTCCAAACCCCTACCAAGTGCTTCAATTACCAACTACCAAGTGCTTTAATTTTGGGAGGAGCTTCAGCCCGAAAGCTTTTTTTTTTTACTTTTGCTTACTTTTTTTACATTACTTTAATTTATCAACAATTTCTTTTTCTTCCATACCTCGCCTTTTAGGCTTTACGGGATTTTTCCTGGTCCAGGGGAGAGGGCTAGGGAATTATACTAGGAAATTGTTTTTGTTGGACATCATGGGTGCCCATCTCCCACTCCCTCTACCCAAGCTTGATGGTGCATGAAGTTCTCCCCCAGTTCTTTCAAATAATTAATTGTTTATCTCAAAGTAGAATTTAAAAAATCATAGATCATATACAACTACACTTGCTGCAGTCTAGTATATGTTTTTCTATTGTCCTCTAGTTTGAAACTTTATATTGTGAAATTTCATATTTCAAACCACACCGAAATGTGTCCCACTGAAAAATGTAAAAACTGTCAAAAAGTTTGATGGCACAACTCTCACCATGAAACCTCTTTCTAGCACCTCTGATGGATTAACTTAAATTTGTATAAATTTGCTAAAACCAGTAGGAAAGTCATGTGAGTGGACGCACCAGATTTTCATTTTATAATTAAGCAAAAACACTGGATTATATTTATTTTTTACAACATATTGCACATTCCTATACATTTTAAGAGAGAATTAAAAAATCCTAAATGCAATATGTTTGAAATAAATAAATTCTATGGTATTATAGATCCTGTTTTCTGGTTAGGTAATTACCAGATTTATCTTTTGATTAATTACAACAATGAGGTTAGTTGATCTGGACTGTTATGTATAAATAATATATTTTACATTTTCTAGAAAATTTTATTTGTAGTAAAAAAATATTCTATTTACATCAATATATAAGGTACATCATGAGAAAATAGCCATGTGAGGGGCTTATTATTGTCATAAACACTAATCATAACTAATATTAATAACATATAAAAACCATGAACATACACTGATATACAAGTTTTAATCCTAATAATACATTTGGTAAATATATTCTAGTATCAATAAAGATATATTTCCATTAAATTATAAATTTTATTATCATGTAATCCATACTTAAGTATTATATCCAAGGAACAAATTTCAATTAAAAAAATAAAAACAAGACTTTGGTGAACTACTATAGATATACAAATAAATCATTGAACAACTTTCAACTATGTATAGATTATTTTTAAGATTATAAATTCGTTTTCATAAAATACGACTGGCTTATTATGAAAATAACAAAACAATAAACTCTGTACAAGTATCATGGAAAATATAATACAGATTTAATGATAGTAATTCATTATGTTATCAATGAAAATTTGTGTTTTTCGAGTTAATAAAGACTAGGATATATACAATACATTTGAATGTGTATGAGAATCACAGGATTCTGAGAAGATTCATGAAAATCACAGGGTTTGAATGATCAAGAGATTATAAATATCCACAAGATGAGCGAGTTCTCTATATCTGAAACACAAACTATTTTATTAGATATTGTAATTGAAAATATACAAAGATTAATGATAACTGAAATTATTGTTGTTTTCATTGAGTTGATATTAAATAATGATTGTTCAATAACCTGCAAGAAACAGAGGAAATGATTATGTTTTTTAACATGCAGAATTAAATCTCATATCTGAGGCTATCAACAATTGTTTTGGAAAGATTTGTAAATTAGATATGACTTCAATACACCCACACTGCTGTTCCAACTGGAATGTTGATTCATGCTTATATCATTTAATTATTTGTTATAGTTATGAGGTGAATGATTTTCAAAATATTAAATGACATTGTAATATTGTTTCTTGGAATGAATTATGTGAAATAATAATTAGAAAAATAAAAACAATCATTTGCTTTGAATATTTTTTTTTTAGATTACTAAAATGAATATTTAGGGAAAAAAATAAATAGAATCTCTTTTAAAAAGAAAAATGTAATGAAAAAAAAAAGTGAGAGGAGGGCGCCAAGTCGGTAATAATAGAAAATACGGTATTGTTGAAGGCTATTCTTACTTACTTACCAATTTACCATGAGTGATGAGGTGTGATGATTTCTTTGAAGTGATGTTTTACTTTGACAATCTTCACAGGAACTGGATAAGGCTTGGGAATGGGAATAGGAACTTTTTGGATTACTTCTACGGTATATGGTTTCACTATTTCATAAGGAACTGGCTTCTCAATAGGGATCTGAAAAATATATATATATATTTCTAATATAGTAGGTAATGGTATTGTAAAAGTTAATTAGAAAAATCTTTCAATATAGTATATATTTAGATTGTAAACAAGAGAGAATGGTTGAGATTATCATTTGCTTATTTCAATGATAATCACAAGAAGAAACGTTTTTATTTTATTTTATTTTTGTTCTCCCTTTAAGCTATATGAGGGTTTTCCCCACAGTGGGTGAGGGCAGAGAATTTATGCCAGAGTTAAAAGTCCCCCATGTGCACCAGGATACGGACTCATAATTATTTTATTGTTTCTAACTTTGGTTATTGGGTTGCCGGCAAGCAGAAACATGCAGAAAGTTTATCAAATTTCAAGTTTTGAGCTATCATTGATTCAAGAGAGGGGCTTTCAAACTGAATTGTCTCCCCTTCTACCCACCTCCCAAAAAATAGACATATATTTCCATATCTGCTTTTATGAAAAACAATAGCCAAATGCCTAAAATGACTTATATGTTGGAATTGCATCCTCATTACTAAAAATATCAGTTAACAAAATGCTCATGTTTCTCTATTTTACTTTTCAAACATCTGCTGACATATTTATACAGAATTAATGAGTTAAATTGTTCAGAATTCTATATAATCATCTGTATTTTTTTGTATCATACATTTTAACTCACGTTTTTTTAACTCACATTTTATTTTATTATCTTTTTTCTTATAGTTAACTTAAACACTGGATTTCTTCTAAACCCTCCATTAAAAAGAATTTGTTCAATTTGAATAGCAAATAATGCACTGATAAAGGGTTTTAAAATCACTTATTCTTTTTTAAAACTTTAAATTGTTTATAATCACTGTCATCTTTAATGAAAATGATTGAGTAAACATGATAGAACCTAGCAACTTTTGTAAATAAAAAATTTTACTATAAAAAATATATTACAATAAAATAAAATAAATAAGCAAATTTTAATAAAATTGCATGTATTAATATATATAAGCAATAACTATTGTTATAAACCTAATACTTATTCCTTAAATGTATATTATTATACAAGTTTTTGTTATATCCTCTGTAAAAAATGTAGTTTTGGTTAACAATATTCCTGTTTCTTCTGTAATGACATTGTCTATTATTTCCTTGGTATAAGAAGTTCAGTTATGGTTAAACAAATATGAAAAGAATAAATAAAAATCAAATCTACCTGTACTGTTTTAATTATAGGCACCTCAACTGGAACATGGACTGGCACAGGATCAGGAACAGGCACAGGATAAGGTACCCCAACTGGATGTGCTACGTGTACTGGGGTTAGAATAGGAACTTGATTGTTAAATTCCACAGTCTGAACTGGTACTCTGAACATGATCATCAAATATTATTTAAGAGATGGAAAGTTATTAATATTAAGTTATATTTATGGCTAGTTTTAATTTTTTAAAAAATACATTTAAAAAAAGAGAAAACTTAAGTTAAATTTTTCCATGAATAGTACCAGGATTACCCATCCTCCTCAAGGCCGATGGCGTATAAATCTTTCCCCAGCCCTCCTAAGATATTTTGTTCCTCTCTTCTTCTTAAAAACAGTGCAAACGAAAGTAGAATTTGAATATTAGTAGATTATATACTACTACATATCCTGTGGTCTGTTCCATGATTTCACTTGTCTTTTGATTTGATACTTTTCATTTTGAAAATTCATAACCACGTCGGATTCTGGGCCCCTCAAAAATTGAAAACCCCGTAAAAAAGTACCCCTCTCATTAATTTTGATGGCGCAACTTGTGCCATAAAACCCCCTTCTGGGCACCCCTGAATAGTAGTACATGTTACAGAACATAAATAATATAATATCATTTCTATTAAACAAAAATTAACATTATGAATGATTAAGCCATGTATACTATTCAAGGCAGTAAAGTAATATTTGAAAAACATGATTTTTTTTCTTAATTGCCTTTACCAAATAAAATTTGGAAGCAAATGGTGCAAAAATAACACCATAACTATTGTTCCAATTTATTTAATTGACAACTCACATTTTTTGTGGCATAAAATGTATGCAACCTCAAGAGCATTAGATTAAAAGGTAAAATTTTCGAATGGTTCAGACTAAAATGATTTTTCCTTCTTTGCCCACATTTTTAGGATTTTGGATTGTTATGTAGCTTCTCTATGATGTGTTGTTCAAATGACCTGAGGTGTTGCTAAGAAGCTTATTGACGTATTATTACAAGCTATAATTTCACTTACCTCAGTAATCTCCAAATCATTATTATGACCCAAAAGAGGAGAAATTGAAAGGCATAGCTGAATCTCTAAAGATTAACTGAAAAAATTGACTGAATCACAAAATTTCTTTTGTTCCAAATAGTTCATCTTTATGCTTTTGATTCTCAAATTAATTAGTTATTTGTTTAAAATAAAACATTGTTGTTCCATAATTCAATATAGAAAAACTAATTAAAATCACATCCAATCTAATTACAATCGGAAACAATTAAAGTTTTTACAATGAAATAAAATTTTTTATTTTTTCTTAATTTTATTCATGAAAAAAAAATATGAATCAAGTAAAAATTAATTTTAGCGTTTTCTTACCCTCCTCCCACATATCCTGGGCTTCTTTTGACGATTGCTACACAGGCCTTAATAATCATTAAGACAATGAGAGCCTTAAACATAAAATGAAAATGCATATAGGTATTTAATTGTTAACAGACAGATAATACTTTATTTAATAGATCATGACAAAAATTGCTATATCTAGAAAATATACTTTTAATCCAATATTAAGACAATATTCATATCATAATATAATATTAATATGAGCAAGAAATAGGTACATTTCTGTTTGTATTGTCTACAAAGGGTTCTCCACAGGTAGAGGTTTGTGAAGGGGGAGGAGGAGCTGGGCGGGCATTAGGACTGGACAGAGAAAGACTGAGGAGAAACAAAGGCTTAGAAACAATGAGAAGACACAATATGTGGAAGGGTGGAAGCTATATCATACCACACTGCAATTTATCTTCTTACCTCAATTCAAAATATCAGATAAGTAGTACAATATTATTCCTTAAAAATAAATTATTAGAATGAAGGAGTAATCTTGACCTTAATATAGTAAATTATGCACCAGCAAACCTTTTTATCTTGTTGCTTAATAAATATAGTTTTGTTTTTACTCTAATAGTTTCTACCTTCTATGTCATCGAGTAAATATGTAATCAACTCAGTAAACTGCCCCAGGTAGTACTTTGGAGAAGATAGTCTATTTGAGAGAGCTACATCTCAAAGGAAAGGTATAGATTAAAGTATAATAATTAATTAAATGTGAATAATATTTATAATTCGTGACCTCCCTATATTTTATTTAATTCTAAAATATGCTTAAACTCAGTATGAATGGTAATAATGAAATAGACAATATTGATTCTTAGAAATAAAAATTCTACTTATTAGTTATTAATTGTATTAAGAAGTATACATTTATCACAATTTTATGAAAATTTCTGTTAAGAAGTATACATTTATCACAATTTTATGAAAATTTCTGCTAAATTCTCCTTTATTATTGCTATAATTAAAAAAATAAAACAAAATGGCCATTCATCAGTTTTAATGTTTGAAGTACACAGACAAGTGAAACATTTTATAAATACTACAGTTAATTTTATAGACAAAAATATTTAAATAGATTGAGAAGAAATAAAACACCCCAAGACATATCATTTACCCCAAGTAAGGCCTGGTTTCTATTTTCTCTAAGCAATAGAGGTTATTATAACAGAGGGCGCACCCTTCCTTGGATGGTGTAAACAATTTCGAAAAAAATACCTATTAAAAGAAAAGAGGAATATAGAGAAAATTCATCCTCATACACGAATTTTCTAATAAATAAAAAAATTGTATCCTGACTAGCTCTAGCGAAATCTTCCAGGAGGCGCGCCCTCCCTTGGATGGTGACATAAAATTCCAAATAACACCTATTTAAAGAAAATAAAAATACAGGGAAAATTCATCCTCATACACGAATTTCCTACTGAAAAAAAAAAATTATTATCGTGACCAGCACTAGCTTAATCTACCAGAGGGCGCGCTCTCCCTTATATCGTAAAAAAATAATTTCGAAAAAAAGGACCAGAAAAACATCTATTTAAAGAAAAGAGTGATGTAGTTTTTGGGCCCCTGTGGGAAGGCTTTTGCTCCTTTCGTAATTTCTTCCTACAGACTCCGAACTGAGTCTCGCAGGTGAGATACATGATGGAGGAAAATTTATTTAAAAAAAAAAACAAACTTCATTTATTCTTCCGAACCAACTTTTATTCGAGTACCAGAAAATACGGGTTTTCTTCCGGACCCAGTTTTTACTCAATTTCAATAGATCTGAACGCATTGTAACCCAGCAACAATAATCTTCTTAAAAATCCACGCGAATCATAAAACTGGTCACGATAATAATTTGTATATTTCTCATTAGAATGTGTTGTTGTTTTATTTTATAGCTGCTGTTGAGAACGTTTTCATGAAGGAATGTAATTATTATTTGGTCGCCGGTTTGATTGGAATCTGATTATGATCGGAATATGAAATTATTCTGAGTTTTTTTTTCTTAGAGATCTCATTTCCAAGCAGCAGAGCCATTCATAGTAATCTTTCTCAGATTTTGACATTATCGGTAAAAATGAGCGTTCATTGACCGTGGTTATCGACCATATCACTTAATCAAATTATTACGTTTAGGTACTCGTTCAGCGCACACGTTAAAACGTTTTTTTATTTCTTAAAGAATACGTTTTTCGCTTTGATGCACTAGTTTAGTGGCGATACATGAAAAAAAAAGATCAGATGAATCTGGAATTTTCGGCTGTAAAAAGTTTTCTTTTGGTGACCCGTGTTAGCAATTTAGTTTTTTACATGTCTAAACCCATACACAGGGTATCTCGTAAGTAGAGGGAAATATTTATAGGAGTGATAGCAAAACTAAATAAATAAGAAAAAGTTTATATAAACAATGGTTCAATTTTTAGCAGGAAAGTAGGGAATTAACGTTTTGTAATTTTTTATCTGTCATGTTTTTTTTTTTAATAGGAAGCGATAAAAAATATATTTAATTTAAGTAATTAATGTTAGCTTCACTGAAAACTAGTCAAAATTTAGTCTAAACAAAAATATAGTTTGCTTTTGTTAAAACCATTTAAAGAGGACTTTTGAGCGGCTAAACTCAGCTAAGGAGTGGGGGGAAATGGTTAGTGGTGGTGGAACGGATAGGGGTTGGGGAAGCACGTGGGTCAGAGGTGCTCCTCCCCCTGAGAAAATTCCTGAATCCGCCACTGTCTGGGAGTGGTTCTACCCCCTCGAGTGTTCTCCACCTACATGATGGACATAATTGGCAAAAACTGCAAATTAGTACTATTGACGCTTTGGACGAGGTAATAGCCGTTCATAGTGCAAGTGTGAAACCAATTCAAGCACTAGCTCAAACCGAATCGGTGTGCCAAACTATTGTGCAGAAGTTTTTAAACATTAAAGCAAATATCTCAAAATCAGATTTTGTCGTCTTTACTCTTCAGGAAAGGGATTTTTTTTTATAGAAAGGAAACTTCGATTAATCTCCTCTTTTTATCTTCCTGATCCGTACATTTTCTACAGAATCACATTTCAAAAGTAAAATATTCGATTTCTCTACCTATCATAATCTTACTTTTTTCTTCATTCACGACCATTTCTCTCAAGCTCAGCTTTCCATTCCACATTCTAGGTCTCCCATCCCCATCAGGTCGAGAAATCGAAGACATACAAATAAACTGTAGGCGTAAGAATCTGGAGTTGGTAGGAATATACATAGGGACAGTTGTTGGTAGAAATGGAAAAATAGACCAAGAGATATCAAACAGGATCAAAAAAGCAAATGTCATCTATTACCAGATCTGCAACACGATCTTAGGAAAACGAAAAGAGAAAAATATAGCTAAGATCAATATATACAACATACACTACCTTACATCCCTACTGTACGGTAATGAGAGCTGGGTCCTTCTAGACAGAATCAAAAGTAGACTTACCTCTGCCGAAAAGAAATATCTGAGAAGAGTAGCTGGCCAAACTAGAAGAGATTGCATCCGAAACGAACGGATTAAAGCAAATGTTAAGGTGCCACAAATTCTGGAAAACACTCAAATGGTTCGGTCATGTTATGAGGAACAGGAAACCCAGAAAATTTCTTGAGACCCACAGAAAAGAGGCCAAGAGGACGTCCTCGGAAAACTTGGATTGACGAAATAACCAAGCTCGCAAGAGAATAGGTGAGGGTTATATGAGGGACCTGGCGAGAGACCGTGATGACTGGCTTAAATTGGTCGAGGCTCCTACACGCTGAAAGACACTACGGAAGAAGACAAAGAAGAAGAAGTAAAAAATTCCATTATGGTCCAATTATTTATTAGATGTCACTCCGCTCGTATATGGTGTCTCGTAAATAAAGGGAAATATTTAAATAAGTAATACTAAACATCAGGAGGTAAAGAAAATTTTTTATCAACCATGATTCTACCCCACTTAGAAAATTAGAAAATTTAAATTTTGGCTCTGTTTAAGTAAATCATGTTTTTTGTTTAATAGAAAGAGATAACTAAAATGCATATATTCTGGAATTATCAATTGTTTCTTAGTAAAATAGACAAAACTTCCTTTAGATACAACAACTTGTCTGCCAAAACCACATTAAGGAGACTTTTTATCATAAAATCAATTATTCTTTGTGATTTTTTATTTAATAAGCCTTCTGTGTCTTTTATGAGATCGCTTAATATAGTTATAACAAAGACAAAATTTACTTTATTGAAGTAATTGACGTCTATTATTAGATTTTAAAATATTTGCCCTTACCTACGGGTCAACTTCTCTACATATACGAATGAAAAGCCCACTAAAAATAATTGGGTGGATTGAAATTTTTTTTTTTTTCTTTCGAATTGTGATGCTCTGGAAAAGTTATAAATTAGAAAGATAAAAATTGACAGATTAATCAAATTGACGTGGTTTAAAGTAAGTAGAAAATAACAAAACATTTTTTTGCATTTTCAACATATTTTTCAGTTGGCCACCATCCGAATTTAACTGGTCAAACGAGTATGTTTTTATTTTTAAGATCAAAGTTTAAGAAATAGAAAGAATCAGATTAAGAAAATGTAGACCACAGTAAAAAAAAAACGCCTGCCAAGTAAGGTCAGTATAGCTTCCTCATCGTTTTCATTTGCTAAAAAATATCTATAATAAAAGGTCTAAAAATTTTCATATTAGAATAAAATCTCAGAAAGAAGCCGTTTTCGGAAATTCAGTAATTCCAGAATATATACGGGCTTGATATCCACGAGTTTTGTTTATCAGCAAATACTAAAGTGCGAAAAAGTTCCGCATTTGCAGATTATATTTTTTATAATTCGTAATAAAAAAAAAACAACAGTGCATATTGAATATTTATCTCGCTACTGTAAGTGCAAATGACTTATGTAAAGTAGACTACTTATATCTATTGCAAAGTACATTATTCCAAAAAAAAAAAAAAAAAATTACGTACGAAATTTGCACTAACAATAGTGATATATACTTAATAGGTATATTTTCACTCGTAAGATGGATGGAATAAAAAATTCATTGGAAAAATTCAACTTTTTGTTTATTCGGAGTTAACGAGACTAATACATTTCTTCAGTCAGAACAAAACTAATTTAAGCTGGAATA